ATGTGTTTACTCCCCGTCCCTCTCCATGTTGTTCCTGTTAACAACACTAACACACCTGGCATTCCGTGCTTCCCGTGGTTCCATAGTACACTGAGGATGGGCTCTGTGGGCTTCTGCTGGAAGCATGGTGCTTTAAAGCATGCACAGTGGGAACTGGGGGGGGGGAAAACTGCCACGTCCCCCCCAAACTGCCCGTGTGGAGCTGAGCCGGGGGTGTGACCTGTTTGGTCGGGTGAATCTCTGCCCAGGGTGTTCCGTTTTGGCAGTAACTCCACTTTGGGACGTTGTGGATGTGTGGATACCCAAACAAAGCTGCGAACCAGGAGAACACAAACATCTTCCTGCCCACGAGCCGTTCTGAGGAGCATGTTTCCTGCTGATATTTCGCTGTTGCATGAGCAGAAATATCACAATGATCTTTTCTGAGGGTCACTCGCAAAGCGTGGAATCTGTCAATTTATTAGAAGCAGTAAAAAAAATATTGATCCGAGCATCTGATTTTATAAATTTTTCTACTTGGTCCATGAATATATCATGTGAAAACAGCAAGGCAGCGCTGCTGGCTGCTGCTTTCACGTCCCACAGTCCTGTTCTTGTTAGTGTTGGTTTTAAATATGATTTTTAAGCAAACCCTCACCTCCAAAGCAGCTGAAACGCCACACGTTTTGCTCTGTGTGATGGAAACTTCTAACTCATCTTTTTCTTTTCCAGCTTGTACTTCCAGAGTACCTCATCCATGCATTCTTCTGTGTCATGTTTCTCTGTGCAGCAGAGTGGCTCACACTGGGTCTCAATATGCCCTTGTTGGCCTATCATATTTGGAGGTAATTCTGGTGTGGCTGTCAGTGAGTTGTTCTCCTTCTCCTGTTTCCGTGTCCCTGTCCCGTGTTTTGTCTTGGGAAAGCAAGGACGCTTTTTGATGCGACACCATGAAAGTTTGTGGCTGCTCAATAAGAACCATCCCTTGGCTTTGCTGGGTGTTTTTATTTTTTATTCTCTTGTGCTGTGTGAGAGTCCAGTTGTGTTGTGTGTCCTGGTATTCCTTGGGGGGTAAGGGGCAGGATCCAACATTTCCCATGGCCCTCATCCCACACCTCCCTGTGCCCCCGTTCCAGGTACATGAGCAGACCCGTGATGAGCGGCCCGGGGCTCTACGACCCTACGACCATCATGAATGCAGATATTTTAGCCTATTGCCAGAAAGAAGGATGGTGCAAATTAGCATTCTACCTTCTATCCTTTTTTTACTACCTATATGGGTAAGTTTTTTTCCCCTCTGCCTGAAGTTTTGGCTCAGTGCACCAGAGAAATATTGTACACAGGGATATATTCCTTCCAGTGCCTGAAGAGAGCTGGAGAGGGACTTTGGACACAGGCATGGAGTGATAAGACTTGGGGAATGGCTTCCCACTGCCAGAGGGCAGGGTTAGATGGGATATTGGGAAGGAATTCCTGGGTGTGAGGGTGGGCAGGCCCTGGCACAGGTTGCCCAGAGAAGCATCCTCCTGGATCCCTGGAAGTGTCCAAGGCCAGGCTGGACGGGCCTTGGAGCAATCTGGGCTAGTGGAAGGTGTCCCTGCCCTTGTCAGGGCATAGAACTGGATGATTTTCAAGGTCCCTTCCAACCCAAACCATTCTGTGACTCTGTGATAAGGTGTTTATACAGTGCCAACTTTTCTGTAAAGGAAACCACAAGCACCATTAATTCCGTTTCAGACACAAGTCCTAATTTGGTCAGAATTACTCTTTTGAGTCTGTATTCCTTTACTGGAGACTGGAAAGCTCCAAGCTTTTCTTCTTTTAAGCATAATGCAATAAACCCTCAGAGCATTTCCATTAAGAAGCTGAAATATTAATATTTTTAGAGTAAAACATTTGATGTATACATGATTTTTGTTGAAGAGTCATTGTGTCAAATCTTCAGTCTCAATCCACGTATCTCACATGAACTCGTTCCTTAGAATGTACATTAAATGCGTAACACTGATCAAAGTGATGCATGTTCATCTTTTTATCTTCCTTTGCAGCATGATTTATGTCCTGGTGAGCTCTTAAGAAGACACTCAGCAAGCTTTGTTCCAGTTAAGTGCATGCAAAAGCCACAAAAACCATGGATTCTTTACAACAAGAACCTCTGACCAAGAATTAAATCCGGAACCCAACGATCGCAATTGCGTTAGAAAACAATGACTCCCCTCTTTTTAAAAATGTTTCCACATTTGACACTTGTGGAAAGACTGTTTTATTATATTCTACTGGGACGCCGAAATTAAAAGAATTACGTGTAAATTAATATAAAGGTGACTGGGGTTTGGAAAGTTTTGACTTTGCACTGCATAAGGAACAGCCGTAACCTTGGAGTAGCTGTTGGTTACTACTAGCCTTAGGACACTAGGGAATTGCTGTAGGCTGGGCTTTGTAGTGGCTCACTTGGACTTGTGTATCCCACTCTTAACTCTAAATCAGCCGTAGCTCCGAGTGCTTGGGAAGGAACTGGAATGCTCTGTTTTGCCCGTAGGTGACGTTGGTCATAGGATATGAATTTGTGGACACGATTGCAAAAATAGTTCTATTTTGGTTTGGGTTTTTGTTTTTTTTTTTGGGTCTGGTTAGTCTTTCCCTGTTTGTGCATGGTCCAGGTCCTTCTGTATCTCCTCCAAACTTTAGCCCTGCTTTTATCTCGTGTCATTGTGGTAGGAGAAGCTGAATTGTCCATGGAGGAATGAATTTAAATGATTTTTTTTTTTAAATGTCTGTGCTGTCTGATTAACAAATGCACGAACCTCCAACATTTACCAAGTCCAGTAACAAAAATACTCTTGGGTTTAAGAGTAATAAATACTCCAGACTTTTTTCGAAGCAGAAAGTGAGATTGTGAAACTGCCCCGCTGTTCCTTAGTGCAATAAATGACAATAAAAAACAAATCTCAAATTCAGCAACACCTCCTTTCATCTGGTGCCTTGGTTTGTTTTTAAATTGGGCAGATCCTCGCTGTGTCCATCGCTCAGCTTTACATGGATAATTGCATCCCTTCTAAAAATAGAACATGGAATCAAGCTATGTCTGGAAAAGGGAAGATGTTTCACATAAATACTGTAAATTGTGACTGCAAACAGCTGCTTAGTTTACGAGTGATAATTAGGAGTCTTTCTCATTTACCTGTGTGCTGGAGAACAATGCAGAGTTGCCCAGTTCTAGTAAAGCTTTTTTTTTTTTTTTGTATGAACTGTGTATTTGTTCACTTTGGGTCTCCGGGGTGTCAGAGGCAGCAAAAGTTGTACCAGTTGTACCAGAAATCCAGGTATTCCAGTACTGGTGTGCTGGACAGTGGGAACAGCTGGGGAAGAACAGTATGAGACAGGGCAGGTGTTGAACATCTCTGCCTGAGGAGGGAGAGAGCGGGTGGAAATTTGTGTGTCCTGGAGAGCTCTGGCATCTTAAACAGCCCTGAAGGGCTTTTCTGCCATCAGCTCAGTTGCTTTCTGAGCACTTTTATAACCTGGTGTGGGAGACCCCAGAATGGTTTGGGTTGGAAGGGACCTTAAAGACCATCCAGTTCCAACCCTGTGCCACGGGCAGGGACACCTTCCACTGTCCCAGGTTGCTCCAAACCTCATCCAACCTGGCCTTGGACACTTCCAGGGATCCAGGGGCAGCCACAGCTTCTCTGGGCAACCCCAAGAAAGTGAGTTCTGCAGTGGAATTAGTAACTACGTAAAAATGCTTGTTTAACAGTTCTGCCAGATTTCATTTGATGCCCCTGAACTCCTATTTTTTTAGGACATAATGAAAATTTCCATGTTATTTATGCTGGGTGTGAGTGACCTGTCCAAGCAGAGAATTCTGTTTAATCTCTTCCTGGTTGGAATCCCTCCTGCAGCTTTGGGACTGTCCTTTCTCCTCCACAAATTTTCCCTGTTCCAGGCTATTACCACGCTAAGTTTGGGTGCCCAGGGGATGGAGAGTGGCAGTTTCCTCCCCTCTGCTCTGAATTCCTCTTTTTATAATGTACTGGGGCTAAGAGATGTCAGGCTGTGGTAACTTCAAATCCTCTTCCTGAAGGAAGAAGAATAGTCCTGAGAGCTAATGGCTATGTACATAAAATTGCTTTCCTGATTGTCATTATTTTTGGAGTTCCAGGAGGCAAAAGATCATGGAGAGAATAAAGAACATTTCTCTCCCTGTCAGCAAGTTTCCTGCTGAGTCACACGATAAATACTTAATATCTGAAAGCCATCAGCTGCAAGGATTAAACACCGGGGCACATTTGGAGCAGAGTATTTTCTCTAAGTGGAACCTGGAAGAGTTCCTGTGCCTGCTGTAGGAGTAGAGAAGGGAATGGCAGTAAAAACTAATTGATCTGTAGAAATTCACCTTTAAACCTGCGCTGGAGTGTCTGGGTTTAAACATGTTAAAGAGAGAAATTTAAATTCAAGTGGGTTCTCCTTCCACTCAAAGCCACCGGTGCTGTGGTGGAGTCTCAGGTCACAGCTGTCCTGAAAAATCCAAGTTTTATCAAAACCTGCCTGTTCATCTTCCCTTTCTGAGTGGATGTAGTGGAACAGGAGGGATGGGGACTGTTGGAGCAGTGTTCCTGTGGGATCCCAGCGGATTGTTTGTTTACTTTCCCTGCTGTCAGCAGGCAGAAGGGCTGTGCCAGAGCCTCACCCACGCAGCTACAGCAGTGTCTCTTCCCGGCAGTCACCTCAAAACCCACCTGTTGGGCTTGTCACAGATCTTTGGTGCAACACCTCCTACTTGTGGAATGAGGGGACCCATTCCTGAATATTCCTGAACACAGGGACGGGAAATGTGACGTTTTAGGACGAGTTCTTACAGCTCCTAAGGGGTGAGCCCTCCAGCCTGGCTTTGCTGTAAAGCAGAGCTGAGGGTGTTTGTAAACAGCTCCAGCGATGTAATTTTTATCCAGCTCCATTATCCCAACACGACTCCAGATTATTACGTGGAAAACCAGGCGTGCAGGGCACCAGGCCAGCAGTGAGCACAACCACACTTGCACAGGTATTTTTCAGGCAGTGATAATAAAGTCACCGGGGAGAGGGAGATGCTGCACGTCCTGCAGGATCCCCATCCCCACCCCAGCGTTTCCCACCCGGATTTGGGAGGGAGCGGCCGTGTCCCCCCGGGCAGGAGCAGTGAGGAAGGTGAGGGGAGAGGAGTCTCATCCGCGTGTGTTCCACAGACACGGAGATGCCCAGGGCAGCTCCAGCTACCGCGATGCCGATCTCGGCACCGTGTCCGTCGTTGCCAGGTGCGCGGCCAAGTTCTCCCGGAACTCGTGGAGGAAATTGTACTGCTGGAAAAGCACAACCGGGTCTGCAGTGAGTGCTCTGTGCTGTCAGAAGAGGCATCAGCTGTCTTAAAAAATCTCTTTGATACCCCAGGATGAAAACTGCACCCTTGAGTCTTGTTTGTTGTTCTTGTGCTTAATCCAACCCTCTGGAATTTTCCACTGTCAGACAGATTACATGGATCTTGGCTTGGATCCCGTGGTTCCCCATCAAGGGCACGTGTGAGCCCAAGGTAATGCAAAACACGGTCCTCATGGGTGGGAGCTGAGTGTCAGAATTCAAAGCTGCTTTATTTTGCATCATGGAATGATTTATGTTGGAAAAGCCCTCCAAGAACATCCAGTCCAACCATTCCCCAGCACTGCCAAGGCCACCCCTGACCCGTGTCCCCAAGTGCCACATCCACAGGGCTTTGAAATCCCTCCCGGGATGGGGACTCCACCCCTGCCCTGGGCAGCTGTGCCAGGGCTGGACAACCCTTTCCATGAGGAAATTTTCCCTAATTTCCAACCTAAACCTCCCCGGGCACAACCTGAGGCCATTTCCTTTTGCCCTGTCCCTTGTTCCCTGGGAGAAGCTGCTCAGCAGCATCAGCAGGGAACAGCTCAAACCCCGGGGAGAAGCTGTGGAGCGCGTTGGAAAGACAGAGGGACTCCTCTGGGAAGGGAAGGAGGGCCTGGCCGAGCTGTCCCTCGAGTCTGGACACGTGTGTCCCCTGCTGCAGCCCCGTTACCTTGATGGTCTGTATGGCCCCGGATCCCCTCAGGTTCCTGAGGCTCTCTATCACCTGCTGAGGTGCCAGCGTGTCCGAGAGCTGGAGCAGGAGACAGGCAGCCACTGCAAGGGAAAGGTGTGTGCACATGGATGCAGAGCCACAGGTTTGTCCCGGGAAAACCACCCCAGCAAAACTCCTGTCAGGGTCACACATCTGCTGGGTTTTCTTCCTGAATCCCATTTCTGGGCACTGGCCCATCTGCTGCTGCTCCTGCCCAAGCCTGCAGGATTTTGGAAACACCCTTTTATCCTGCCTTCCTAGCAGCACTTGGGATGCGATTCCTAGGCTTTTCAAGAACAAGTGCCAGTACAACCAGTTAATTCCCCTTTGTGTCTTCTGCCAGTATCACCACCCCTTCCTTCTGGGTCCCACCGGGAACTAATGCTCCTGGAACACTGGGATGAGGGAAGATGCAGAGGAACAGGTCCATCCCCTTTATATTAACATGAGTTCTTACCGAGACAGGAGCGCCCGAGGCCACCGTAACAGCTGGGAGAGAAGGAAACATCTGGTTGTAACAAGCTGTGGGAAAGTGCAACACCCAGAGAGACCCCCCCAGAGCATAAATAACATTGACACAATTCCCACCTCAGTATCGAGAGCAGCAGTGCCACAAGGGAGTCAACAAGAATTTCTGTGTATTTTCGATATTCTATTCCTATACCTACAAGGATATCTCCTATTTGTTCTTCAGATCTTCCTTTCCAGAGAAACCCCAGTTTTAAAGTTCCCCTTCATTCCTGGTAATAGTCCCAAATGGCACGAGGATGGACACTCTCGATTTTCTTTAGATCCTACTCCAGATCAAGGTTTTGAGGAGAGCTGTGAGGACAGCAGGGTGCTGCACCAGCAGGAAAACCAAGGACTCAGTGGATGGATGTCAGCTGGGTCATTACAGGGGACATGGAACTTGGAGAGCTCTTCCCCCTCTGAGCTCAGCTACAGGTGGCTAAATAAATGACTTTAAACCAGTTTGATGCAATTTAAGAGGGAATTTTGCACTGCTGGAACGCACTGAGTTCCTAATAAACAGCCCAGGGGCCTGTTACAGAATCAGAGTGGTTTGGGTTGGGAGGGACCATTCCAACCCCCTGCCATGGGCAGGGACACCTTCCACTAGCCCCGGTTGCTCCAAGCCTCATCCAACCTGGCCTTGGACACTTCCAGGGATGGGGCAGCCACAACCTCTGACAAGAGCTGGTTTAACTCACATCTCCTGCTGCACACCTGGTATCCAGGTAGGCTGGGAGCAAGGAGAAATGGGACATTCTAATCTTAAAAAGGACAAGTTCTCTCCAAAAAGGTGGAGAAGGAGGAACAAGCAGCTTTTCACGGCTTGAACTAACCCCAAAGACTGCAATTCCCATTTCAAACCACTCTGTTTCACCTGCTTATACATCTAACCGGGACCTACTGTATCACTGTTTTCCGGTTATTTTCCAGGCAGCTTCTGAGCTCTTCTAGGATTTTGCAGCAGGTGGCGATGTCAGGAGCGTTCCCATCAGGAATGGGATGGTGGTGCACGCACATCCCGTGCTGTTGGTAGGTGTCTATCAGGTTTGGCACTCGGTATTTTGAGAGCTCTCCTCTGGTACAAAGCACGAATATGTCCTGGATCCCAGAGTTCCTCAGTTCTCCTGCCAATGGATGAGTACACTTGCAAATAAACAAAAGCCTCTCGAGCCCAAGGATACTCAGATAAGCTGGTTGGTGCTGGGTCTCTTGTTTAATCTCTGAGGTTAAGACAACAGCAGTGAGAAATTCTGCTTGGAGCGGCATTTCCTGCCACTGAGTCTCTCCCATGTTTGGCTTCAGATAATCCAGGTGAGGAATTTTCTCAGTTCAGAGGGAGCCTCACTGGGAAGCCCATCAGCACTCAGGAGAGCGTGTTAACTATTAAAGCACATTTCTGTCCCATCTCCAGCTTAAAATCACTGAATCCCAGAATGTTTGGCTTGGAAGGGATCTGAAAGATCATCCCTTTCCACCCCCTGCCATGGGCAGGGACACCTTCCACCAGCCCAGGTTGCTCCAAGCCCTGTCCAACCTGGCCTTGGACACTTCCAGAGATCCAGGGGCAGCCACAGCTTCTCTGGGCAACCTGTGCCAGGGCCTCCCCACCCTCACAGTCAGGAATTCCTTCCCAAGCTTCACTTATCCAAACACAGTGGGGTTTTTGCTATTAATCTCTGCCCTTCTGGTGCTCACAGATGAATTCTCAGCACAAACCTTCACATCATCCCATCTTTCTATCCCAAACCTCACTTCCCTCTGGGAAGGGGATATTCAAAGTTTGTAATTCATCCTGATCCCAGCTGCTTTAAAGATGCCTCGTGGTTCCTGTGCAGGACACGCAGATGCCTGTGTAGCTGCAGCCTGGAAATACCCCGACTATTTATCCCACATTTCTAGGGAAGCCACAGGGGAGGTGGCCCTGGCCCATCTAAAAGTGATCTGTGGCTGTGCCAAGATATTTTGCTGCAGCTGCACCTTTTTCTTGCCCTTCACACTTACACGCTGGCCAGAGGACTCACCTACATCCTTCTGGAGATTCCTCCTGACATCCTTAAACCTGCAACCTGAAACAAATCATGGACAACAATTCCCACTCCAGGTGAGTGACATTTATGGAGTGGCTGGTGCAGCTGAAGAACAAGAGCACAGGCAACCTCCCCCCAAAAACCAGAGCAAGCAACGAAGCCACACCCCAAGCAAAGCACAAGTTCTTATTTTTTTTCAAGTAGATCCCTGGCACAGGAGGCAGTTTAAGCACCATTATCTGCTTAATGCTGTAATGTAATAGGATTAAAAGAAGAAATCTGCCCGAGGTCTTAAGCTGCTTTGGGTTTTCCAGATAAAAAAGTTTGGGAAATTTTAAATCAGATTTTAAATTTTAAAGCATAAAAGGACACAAACCAAAAAAAAAAAAAAAACCCCAAACAATCCAACAAATAAAAGGGGTGGATAAAAATCATTTAAGAGTTGACTGGTCCAGGAGGTTCACGTGGATCCACAGGAGATCCACCATGGCTGCAGTTTTGGTGGTTAAAAATACAGTGAAAGCTTGTATGTTTACTCTATGTATTAAAAACGTGGTCTTATGTTAAAATATTCTATAGATCTGCTTTGGTGCTTCCAAATAAGCCACCCACAACACAGAATTTTGGGGCACAAGGTATTCCCCCCCTCCAGCTTTCAAACATGCAGACTTCAGGGAACGCTTCTTACCTGGAAGGGAGCACAATCCCAGGAACTTGGAAGAGCAGAGAGGAGACAAAGACAACCTACCAGAAAACAAAACACAAACATAAACCAGCAGGAATTGCAGAATGCAAAAACATTCCCAGTGAGTATTTCACGGAACTGGAGGGGAATTTTCCCCACAGGTGCCTTGTGCAGACTCTTTGTGTCTGTGTGCATGTGCTGGGTCAGATGTGCCAGGGACACTGCTTCCCTAAATTCTTCAGTGCTTTAGGTTTATAAGTGACTGTTATAGTGTAGTAAATCATATATAGATCCAAGTTAAATTGTTAATAGGTTAAGGGTTAAGTTATAAGTTGGTAGATTAAGTTAAGTCATAAGTTAAGTGTTAAGTTAATGGTATTAAGTGTCAAGCTATAAGTTATGTGCTGTCAGGCCTTTGGGCTGTATTCCTATTTGTCCTTACGCCTTCTGTCCTTTTGTTTCCCTTTCCTACCCCCCCACCAACCACAGCCTCCACAGACATGGAGTCTCTGCACTGGTACTGATACTGATTTTAGATTTTTGTGTGCTTTTTCTCTGTGTATTTTAACTGTTCAGTAAGTAGTAAAGTGCACTCTTTTGTGCCATTGCCTTTATATTAAACCTGCTTTCACTGATGCATTTGCTGGTGATTTTTTGAGCGACCTTAAAACGCTCGTTTCATGGTAAAGGGATTAAAACTCCTCTCATTCCAACCCCCCTGCCACGGGCAGGGACACCTTCCACCAGCCCAGGTTGCTCCAAGCCCCGTTCAGCCTGGCCTCGGACACTTCCAGGGATCCAGGGGCAGCCACAGCTTCTCTGGGCAACCTGTGCCAGGGCCTGCCCACCCTCCCAGGGAAGAGCAGAGCCCTGGAACTGCCCAAGGCAGCTGTGGAGTCTCCAGCCCCGGAGACATCGAAGACCCCCCGGGATGAACCTGCCCGAACAGGGGGGTCGGACTGGGCGGGTTCCAGAGGCCCCTTCCAACCCCACCCACTCCCACTGACAGTTCCCCCGTTTCGGGGCCACCACCATCCACCCACAACCCTGGCAGGTCACCAGGGCTCCTCTTTGTCGGAAGAGGGGTTTAATGCACTTCCCCGAGGGGAGGGACCCGCGCGGGCTGCGCCTCACCAGGAGATGTGGAGCGGGCCCGAGTCCTCCTCGGCGGCCTCGTCGTCTGAGGAGGCGAAGCCGTCGGCGGGCGCCGTGCGGGGCTGCGGGGAGAGCGAGGGGCTCAGCTGGGGGCCGGGACCCTCGGCTGTGCCCCAGCCCCAGCCCCGGCCCCGGCCCCGGCCCTGATCCTGATCCCAATCCCGGTCCCGCTCCCGGTCCCTCACCGGGTTCACCATGGCGCCGCCACCCGTTCGAACTGGCCCCGCCCACCGCCGCACCGCCCAATGGGAAGCCGCGGCTCACAGGGTGCGTGAGAGCCAAGCGGGCCCGCCCCGTCGCCGCATGAGAGGAGCGCTCTGATTGGTGGGAGGGGGGTGGGCGGGCTTTAAGGGGCACGCCTGCTGTGGTGGTCTTCGCTCTGATTGGCCGAGGCGGGGAGGGGCGGGGCGGGGCGGTCTCGCGCCCCAGGTGACCGTTAGGGGCGGGGCGTTGTGAGGGCGCTGAGGGGGCGCTCGCGCCCGTCCCGCCCCGCCCGCCTCGTCCCGTTTTAATCCCTCCTGGATGCGTTTTCACCTCTGTTCCTATTCCTGGTAGACATAAGGCCCTGGTTCACAGGTTGCCCAGAGAAGCTGTGGCGATCCCTGGAAGTGTCCAAGGCCAGGTTGGGCAGGGCTTGGGGCAATCTGAGATAGTGGTAGTGTCCCTGTCCGTGGCAGGGGGGTTGAATGAGATGGTCTTTCAGGGCCCTTCCAACCCAAACCATTCTGTGATTCCATGATAAAACACGGAGGTGGATGTGAGCCTTCCGTCCTAGCACATAGAAGGGCAAGGATGTTCTTAAGCAGGTGCCCTGCGGAGTTTTTGGGGTGATGGTTCTATGTGCAGCAAACGAGCAATCAATCCTTCCTCTCTTAAACCACGAGCTTAATGTCAAATGTTCTTCTCGTGGCTCTGTTTTCCATTTTTCTATGCAAATAGGTGTTAGGGCTATTACATGGAATTTTTACTTGAGTTTAACTAATGTGGAGCTTTTACCTGACTTTAATTTTAACCATCGTGGAGCTTTTACCTGAATGTAATTAATATGAATTATGGTTCCAGGGCTGCCTCGTTTGTAAGAGCTGGGGTGTTGCTTGTGCTCAAGGCATTCAAATGGATCCCTTTTCGCAGCGTTTTTCTTAATTCCTTCAGTAACTCTGGCTGTTAAATTAACAGAAAGAAATGCATAAGTTGGTAGTGTGGGATTTTAGTGTTTAAAATTACTGTAAGGCAGTTCTGCAACCTGTGTGTTTAGGCACTCGCAGAACGAAGTTGCGAAGGAGCCAGGCACAAAGAGGGATTTTTGGCATCAGTTTAGACAATAATGTCACGGGGAGTTCCCAGGATGATGTTTGAAGTGAAGGGAATGGCTGGGCACAAGTGGTTCGAGTTTTGGTGAGATTCCTAGTAGGGCCAGTCCAAGATCTCCAGGTGTGGAGAGCTTGGGTTTTGGTTCTGCGTGAGTAACTTTACTCCCACCGCTGGAGGTTTTAATGAGACCTGCCTGAGAAGGATTGTCAGAACAAATTGCTTGGAATGGCGGGATTTAGGATGGGTCCGGGGAATGAAGAAACAGATGATGGGAGGATCAAGGAGAAGACCAGTTTATTAAAACCCCGAATATGATAGCAGAGGTACAACAATTACATTATTGAGCAGAATGGAGAATTAAAACAATCCAGATGTTGCAGATCAAGATGAGCAATGGGAAGAATTACATCCTAAGGACTGAGGCAATGTGAGGACAGCCAGTCACTGTGGCTGTAAACATCATTTTAATAACTCCTGCAGCCACTGCATGGAGGAACAGGTATGCTGTTTGTTTTTATTTTTAACTCTGGTGCCTTTAGAGATTGTGCATCCTTAATAAAGCTGTGAAATTTGCTGTATTTTTATTTCCCTTGGTATTGATTTTGCTTGTTCAGGAGAAAGGTATTGCAGACTTGAACTCCGGTGATCATACCTTTATGGAAGCAGCGACATCAGACAGACAAATAAATGAAATAACAGCAACAATGGTAATGCTGCTGGTTGTTCTTTGAAAAGATCAAAGGAATTCTCTGGAGTTTGGGTGCCTTCACGTGGCAGAAATCAGAATGGTGTTGCATGGAATCCGTGGCAGAAATAAACAGGGATCAGCTGTAGGTGGGAAATCTAAAGTAAATGCAGGAAAAAATTGGGGAAAAAAAGGAAAAAAAAATCCAAACTTGAGGAAGTCCTGTGAGTTTCATTATTACCCTTGGCATCTGGCAAGAATTAAATGGCAAATGTTTGCAGCTGATTACTTGTTCGGGTTTTCTGTTCATTTCTAAAATTGAGCTGTTGTCCAGCACATCGAATTGGGATGTGCTAAAGCTTGTTTATGGTGTATTTTATAGGAAGGACTAACAGGATTAAGTTTTCTGTCAAAAAGTGTCCTTTTGGCAAATGAAAAGGAGAGCACCGACACCAAGGCTTTACCTTCTGGAAGTTTCTGTCAGTTTGTAGATTGGGTGTGCCTGTGGAACGTGAGGGAAAATAGCCACGGATAAGACCTGAAATATGTAGTTTGGGAGATTAAATTGGTGATTTAATCAGAATTTTAATTGGGCTTTTTAGATAATCGGTTGGGGCGAAAACTGCTGTTTGTGGATATCTAATGGGAGGGTCTAAAAAAGATGGAACCAGAGAGATGTGTGGCAGAGACGATGAACAAGGGTTGGAATGTGGGAAGTCTTTATTTCATACAAGGAAATAGAGTTTTATTGTGAGTGTGGACAACAATAAGAAATGGAGTGGTAATTTTGTGCTTATGTGTTAGCTGTTTGGGGTTATGAGTTTGGTTTTTTTTATTGCCTTTTAAGAGATAAAAACTCTTATGTTACATGACACAAGGCACTGATGCCTCTAATGCAACAATAAACACCCTCCCAGAAATATTAAAAAATATTCCCAGTGGGGAGGGGGTCAAACAGCAAGATGATCTGAGGAAAATTCTTGTGTCCCAGGCTTTAAATACGTGTGCACAGAATGGGGTTGTGGCCTGGCAGCAAAGTCTGTGAATAAAACGTGTAATGTGAGAAAATAGTGCATGAAAATCCTGGCAGGTCTGGTGGGTTGGCAGGGAATGGCGCTTGCTTTGGGTCTGTAATTTAAGGATATAAAGCTGTAAGTGTCCAAAGGAAGGCCCTCATCCCTGGGGACAGCAGAGGGCTGCGTGGACGTGTAGCATCTTCCCTCTGCCATTCTGCACTCAGGTTTCACAGATAAAATAAATATCTGATTAAATACAGGTAAAAGCTTGGCATGATCCAGTGTGTGTGTGTGGCAGAGACAGCTGGGGATTAGTGTGAAACAGGGAGTGAAGGAACTTGATGGTGTATCAGAGATAAAGATAAACCTTGAAAAAAACAAGCCATGTCCTTTTGCTGCAAGGGGCCAAAACCGGATCAGGAACGTCCAAACCATCAAAATAATTTTAAGAGTGTTGGTAACTGATTACTCCAAACAACCCTCTGTAATACCAGAAACTTGTTAGTCACCTCTCAGTTGGTATCTCAGTTTCTGGAAGTTGTATTTTGGTTAAACTAATTAATACATGTGGTGTTCCAAGAGAGGCACTGTAATGCCTTTGGGAGCACTCCACTGGTGATATCACCACAAAATCCCACTGGGAATCATTTCACTTTTCCAGATTGTTTTTTATGGAGGGAGAAAATAATAGGTGGGAGAGAGTTTACAAAAATGTCAACAATCTTCTCTTTTTTTCCCCTCCCCTTCACTTTCAATTGTCTGCTTGTAGGAAACGGAACCACTGCATTATAAGCTTATACATTGCACCCCACCATGAGGATATGAATGGAAAATTCCTGTTCTGTGAGATAAAATTGTGTCATGTTTGGAGAGACACTTGTAACTTGAGACACAAAATAAACTTGTTAGGACGGCAAAGCACAGTGTTGGGAGATTCTGTAGATTTTCCACATCGTTAGTTCTTCAGCCACGCTTGAGTTTTTGGTTGGAGTTTGTGCTCAAACTGTGCTAAAAAAAAAAGACCACTGACAGAAATCTCTGTGAGTGGTGATTGCTCTGAGCCAAAGTGTTTGTGAGGTGTGTTATTTCAGAGGAACGAGCAACTCCCCTCCTGCTCCAAATTGTTGGAGGGAACTTCTTATACCTCACGTGTGTGGGGGTTTTTCTTGCTTTCCATCACAACCCCGATACGTTGGTGGCAGTTACAGACTTGGGTTTGTGGATTGTTGTGCCAGGAGAGCTGGAGATGCAAGACAGACAGACAGACAGAAGGACAGGAGCTCTGTCTAGCCCTATAAATCCTATAAATCCTACTTGTTTGTTGAATTAAAACCAGCACCGAGTTTTGGCCCTAAAGCTGGTGATGGAAAAACAGTGTTTTATGTAAATAAAGTGGTTTTTATTGGCCAGTTTATGATGGTGACTGGCAATTGTTAGTGGAGATGAACTTCTACGTTTCTAGGCAGGGTGCAGCCCTGCTGTTATTGAGACTGATGACGTATCAGGATACACTGACTTGAAGTCTTCAATAAATTCCTGTTTATTTTGAAGGTTTTTATAGCTACAAAAAAGTCTAGTGCTGTCTGGAGTCGAGAGTTGTACTGTCCTGTGCAGCTGATTCAAGATGGTGCATGTTTCTTGTTTGCCTTTCTTTTATCACAGTTCTCCTATTTATTTGTTTATTTATTTTTTTCTATGTTAACTACACAAAAGTGGTAAAGCAAATCTCTGTAATGGTACTTTTTGTTTTGTTTCCACGACTTGTTGCTTCTATATGTGACCTTGAAGAATCTGTTTTAATGAAATAATTATTTAAAAGCTAATTTTTTCCCTCACTGCATGATTCCTTTTGTATTTCAGGCTGAAATTGCCTGCTGAATGAAAAACAAACAAACAAACAAACCTGAACCCCAAACTAAAAATGGTTGTTACTTAGTTTTTAGCACAATGTGGCTTGATTATAACTTGACTGATTCTTACCAGAATACAAGTAATAATCGGTAATTCCAGTACCTGAAGGGAACCTACAAAAAAGATGGAGAGAGACTTTTTATAAGGGCTGGAGTGACAAGACAAGGGGCAGGGATAGATGGGTTGTTGGGAAGGAATTCCTTCCTGTGAGGGTGGGGGATGAGATGGTCTTTAATGTCCCTTCCAACCCAAACCACTCCGTTTCTGTGATCCT